AGAAAAGAAAGAAAAAAGGAAGGAAGGAAGGAAGGAAGGAAGGAAGGAAGGAATCAAGTAATAATAAATGCTGGCAAAGCTGATAAGCGAACACTTGTACTTGGTGCGAATGAAAACTAGGAGAGGCTGGGGATTTAGCTCAGTGGTTCTACCACCTGCCTCACAAGCACAAGGTCCTGAGTTTGATCCCCAGTACCAAAAAAAAGAAATCTAGTACAACCACTATAGAAATCAATATGGAGAGTCCTTAAAAAACTAAAGATAAAAATTCCATTTGACCCAGCTATTCCTTCTAGGTTAAAGAAAAAAGACATCCTATGCATACCAATGCTCACAGCAGCACAACCAATAATAGGTAAATCTTGGAAGTGTCCTGTAGGTCCATCAACAGATGAATGGATAAAGAAAACGTGGTATGTGTACACAATGGAGTTCTACTCCAACATTAAGAGATAAACCTGAGTCATTTGTAGGAAAATGGATGCACCTTGAGATCACGATGTTAGGTGAAATAAATCAGACACACAAACTTAAAACATCACATAGTTTCTCTTGTTAAACCCAAGCAATGAAAACCACTCCATTTCATCTAGCTTCCTCCTTTCTATTAACTAAAGCTTCTTCTCTGAGAGACACTGCCCACTGGTTGACCCCCCGCAAAAACATTCAGAGTCTGTCTGCTGATAAAAAAAAAAGAGATACTCCTGGGGGGGGGGAAATCACCAAATGTACCCAGGTGTCACCCCCACCCTCTAACTGCCCTCTGCTTTTGTAATCTGAGCTTTGCTTCCCTGCAGTACTCCTGCTCACAGCCCTATAAAAACCTGAGTTCAGATACCTGGACCCTTCTCTCGGAGTCGGGTCTCGGCCGGTGTAAATAAAACTTTGTCCTTCTAGACTTGCATTTTCTCGTCTGGTCAATATAACACTCTCATACGAGAAACCAAAAGTATAAGTAATTTAAAGAGCAAAATATAAGATATAAATAGGGAACAGGGAGATAGATTATTTTGATTTTTGAGATACTGTCTAAGTAGGTCAAACTGGCCTTGAATTCATTATCTAGCCCAAACTGGTCTAGAACTAGTGGCAATCTTCCTGCTTCAGCTACCTGATGGCTGGGATTATAGGCCTAGGGCACCACACCCAGCAAGGGAGATAGGTTTGAAAAATGGAAGGAAACCCAGATGGAGGGAGGCAGAAGGGGAAGTATAAAAGGATTAAAATGTGTTATACAAATGTACCAACTTCTTAGATGAACAGAATTATGTACTAAAATATATATACTAATAAAAATTTTTAAAAATAAAAAAACTTTTAAAGAGAGCCTTTAAGAACTATTTGGACACTATCAATTGTGTTTCACTTAAAAAAATCACTATGTGCATGCTAGCAAATAACTGTAATCCCAGTATTATGGGAGGTTAAGGTAGGTGGACTATAAATTCAAGTCCAGCCTACGCAACTTGGTGAAACCTTGTCTCAAAAAATTAATAAGGGCTCAGGATGCAGCTCAGTGTAAAGGCTCTGGGCTCAATCCTCAGTACTACCAAAAAGAAAAAAAAAAAAAAAAAGGCAAAAACCCACCATATTCCCTGTATCTACAATTTAAATTGCTACACTAGGCCGGGAATTTAGCTCCATGATTCCTCTGCTTGCCTCAAAAGTACAAGATCCTGAGTTTAACCCCTGGTACCAAAAAATTTTAAAAATAAACAAATTGCTACATTGGGATGGGCATTTAGCTCAGTGGTGCTGGTCCTGAGTTCCATCCCTGGTAATGAATGCACTTTTGTTTTGTTTCTGGTACTGGGGATCGAACTTAGACCCTTGTGCTTGTGAAGCAGACAGCAGAAGCACTAATCCAAATCCCCAGCTCCCTGGTACTGAATGAATAAATGAATAGCTACATAAACAATCCAAATTGTTGCTTTTTTCCTTAACAAAAAACAAGCTGCTAAATTTTTTTTACTAGGACAAGATATAGATTCTTTTTGTGACCCAGGTGCAAATCATTTTCTCACTGTGAACCTAGGTTTCTCTTCTATAAGACAGGGGTAGGCTGGGCATGGTGGCCCATTTCTATAATTCCAGCACTTGGGAAGTTGAGGAAGGAGGATCACCACGAGTTCAAGGCCAGCCTGGACTACATAGTAAGCTCGAGGGTAGCATCAACTATAAAGACACCCTATCTTATTGTTTTGTTTGAGAAAGGGTCTCACTATGTAGTTGAGACTGACCTGGAATTCACTCTGTAGCCCAGGCTGGTCTCCAACTCAGAGATCCTCCTGCCTCAGCCTCCCAAGTGCTGGGATTACAGGCATACACCAGGCCTGGCTTGAGACTCTGTCTTTAAAAAAATGGGGGGAGGGGTAAAAACCTGTTCCACCTACTGCAAAATTTAACTAACTGAAATTTTATGTGAAAAACACAACTCAAAATGTCATAAACCACAGCACAGTTCATAATAGCTAAATCTTGGAAACAGCTCAAATGCCCATCAACTGATGAATGGATAAAGATGTGGGGGGGGTGTTGCTGTTGAAATACAATGTAGTACTACTACTCTGCCATAAAGAAAGATAAACTTGGGCCAGGGATTTAGTTTAGAGGCACCTTGCCTGCCTCTCAAGCCCAAGGTCCAGAGTTTGATCCCTGTAACCAAAAAAAAAAAAAAAAGATAAGCTTGAAACATTTCTAGCTTAATACATGCACCTTGAGTCCAGACTCTTAAGTGAAGTAAATCAGATGCAAATGTTTAAATACTGCCTTGTTTCTCTAGTGTGAGAAAATAAAAATAGAAATAAGGGGCAAAATGTGTAACAGATATTGGAAAATGTTCACGTGAGAAGGGGAACAAGGGAGTGGAGAGGGAGAAAGGAAAGACAGGACAGGAAGAAAAAATTAATTAAAAGGGAAAAAAGGAAAAAAAGCTTTTATAAACAAGGAGGGGAAGACAGGTTGAAGGGGAGATGGGAAAAAAGCAGCAAGATATATCATATACAGGTACAAATTCCCTATGATATTATGTATATCTAAAATGTACCAATGAATTTTCTGCTTCAAAAAAAAAAGTCATAAACTATGGGGCAATGGAGCATGCCTACAACCTCAGCACTGCGGGAGGCCGAGGCTGGAGGACTGCAAGTTCGAGCCCAGTAGGGTCCGCTTATCTATGCAGGGAGACCCTGTCTCTAAATAAATAAGGGTTCACCATGTCGCTCAGTTCAAAGGCCCTGCTTTCAATTGACGGTGCCACACACACCAAGTCACAAACCTATTACTGAACTCGTGAGTGTAGTGTCATGTATTTTATTTTCTCTCACTTTTATTCCCTTTTTCTTATAGCAGTAATTTATGTAAGGCCTAGCCACGGAGCACACAGACTAACAATATAAACTACTCAAGCTCCTCTAACAGCAGTTAAGTTAAAGATTTAGCATAACAACTAAAATTTTCAAATTTAATGCTATTTGTATTTCAGCAATTCGTTTCACTGCAATATATAAAATTATAAAGCTACTAGAAATTGGCAGTGAATTAAGAGTAAACGGTTACTTAACACAAGTAGTTGTGAGAAATACACTTCAAACAAACAGTTGTCACAAACTTTGGTCCGTGTAATGACAATGAGCAAAACCACAGAGGCAGATGATTTACTGTATATCTACAAGACTTCAGTATTAAACAGGTGAATATGGGACAAAACACCCCAGTGTGAAACAGGGTAAATGAATTAGTATATGTTAATTTCAGGCTAGGAAAATTGAACAAGAGAAAAATCAGGATTGAACGTGTACTTCTTTTAAATTAATGATGTAAAATTTAAAAACTTACAACAAAGTAGTTATTCCATCTTACACGCACCTCAGCACTACCGCAAAGTAAATGAAACGTCTATAAAGCTCAGAAGTTTACATTTCAAGAACACACCAAAACCACCAACCGTGAACATCAGGTGATTTCTCTTTGTTGCTTACCGATGACACAGCTTTCTTCCTGACAGTCTACAATTAATTAGGGACCCCAAATGCTTGCTGTAAAGGCCCGTTTCTACCCCTACCTGCACAGGAGAAACTAAATGGGTGTCCAAGAATCGCGAAGAGGGTAATCTGGAAAAGAGGGGGGGACTGAGAGGGCGCGGGCGGGAGGCTCGAGGTCCGCCCGAGGAGCGCCAGGCTCGGCGGGGACAAGCGGGCC